TAGATGAGGAAGATGGCGGCGTCATGAGTAGTGAAGAAGATAACGACGTTGTGAATGAAGAAGAACATGACATCGTTCGTTCTTTCCCTCCTTGGGTCTGACAGAGAGAATTTCAAAATGAAAAAAATGAATGCGATGGAATGGGGTAACCGGAAGGAACCCTAACAACAATTTTTACATTTTGAAAATTTACCCCCTAAAAGTTTTTAAGTTTTGTTTACCTACATTGACCGCTTCGAGCGCCTAGTCCCGCTTAGCTCTACTAACCTCCGACTATCACTGATTTTGACCACGTCCGATTAGAGAGGCTAATGAGCTATAATCATCATCAGTCGAGGACCGCCAAGCGCCTAGGCACCGATTAGTCGGGTGCCTAGGTCGATATTTACAATACTGATATATATATATATATATATATATATATATATATATATATATATATATATATATATATATATAATATATATATATATATATATATATATATACTTAGGAGCTAAATGGAAATCCTGCAAAATTTTTCTTAAACAAACAATCATGTAATACGCGTTCACGTATGAGAGAAGGTATTCAAAAAGTGGGTTTAGAATCATACCATTGTGAATAATCTATCCGTTTTCGATTATTTGTTCCTATGTTCCCATGTCGGAGATATTTTTTGAATCATCGACTTTATGAGTACTCTACTTGATTTTTATTTACTCTAGAGTAAACCCTAAAACTAAACCATGTTTCCGTTGCATCATGTGTATTGATAAAAGCTAGACTACTAATACACATCATCAATCTCCCGAGTTCCATCTAGGACTCAACTCTTTTGTCAAGAGATCCTTGTCACACCTAGATCGTAAAGGTGAAACAAAATGTCAGTATGAGCAATGTTATGACTGTTAATTCATAGATCCAAAATCAATGAGTTTTCAAGTACATATATATGGTTGTAGTTGGTTATATGAAACATGAACATATTACGGTGAACCTTAAATTCCACCGGCTGTAAATATCGTAGCGCAAAGTAACGAGGTGGGTGATGTTATCGACGATGATATGTTGGAGTAAAGAGAAAATGATACCAACCTCAAACACCAGGGGTAACAATATTGATGATCATTTTGAACAGTTGTTAGAGGCAGTCAAAACCAAGTTATATCTTGGTTGTACTTTTTCTCGGCTTGATTTTTTTAGCAAATTTGATGCATATCAAGGTCAACAACAAATGGACTGATAGTTCATTTGATTATCTCCTTGAGTTGTTGCATTTAGCATTTCCACAAGACAGCAAGGTTCCCTGTTCATATTATCTAGCTAAAAAGAAACTGAAGAAGATAGGTTTGGGGTACGAATCAATATATGCATGCAAAAACGATTGTTTTCTCTTCTAGAAGGAACAAAAATGGATGTTTATACTTACACCATGTACATAGTCAATAGTGTTAGGTTTATAGTACTTAGTCGTGATGCAGAATGCAAAATGATATACTCTAGGTTTCTAGATGTGGGTAAGAATAGAGAGAAATATTATAGCAAGTTAGAAGTGATTATAAATGTGTAATATCCATATGATTGTTCGACTATAATATTTTGATGTAAATGGTTCGATACAAGTGATATTTCTGATGATATTTTCATTAGTATCAACAAATAACAAGAAGCGTGCCAAGATTTTGAACTTATATATGTTTTGCAAGCAAAACAAGTGATCTACATCTGCGAGCCTTCTCGAAGAAACCGTAACAACAATATTCATTGTGTCATCGGCCATGTTAATCATCGAAGTATTTGGGATCTACCATCCAACAATACTAGTGTCCAAAATGCTTACAGTGACTCTATACAAAATGTAGATAATGTGGAGGCCAGAAATGTTGACATTGTTCAAAATAACTCTGAATCTGGTACAAAACTTTTTATCAACTTCTTACAATACTTTCATAACAATGTTGATTATGATGATAAGGACGGGACTGAAGTACCTTCGCCAACAGGTAGAATCTATAATGTTTCTGAGGAAGAGACTGATTATCAAGATAACGATTCTGATTATGATATTGTTGAAGAAGACATCGAAGTATACAAGGGAGATTTTGAGTAAAAAAATCATATGCTTTTTTTGTAATAGAAACTTTATTTGAAGTCTAACTTTTACTTATATTGTTTGTCGATTTTGTAAATCTTATAATTTTGCAGGCTAAATTCTATTCATATTGTGTTTCTATATTGTACATCTTGTAATTTTTCAAGCTATATATGGGGTTTAGTTGGGAGATACTCTTCTACATGATGACAAATGTTATGACCCTTGGACATGGAGGTGATGGAGTCAAGGATTCACCACCTCCAGTAGGCTTTGGTCGTGAAAAACACAAACAAGATGGTAAGTCTTATTATGATATATTTATTAACTATTTTTATTCAGTTATTATAATATATAATGACTAATATTTTTATTTATATTTTTCAGCCGAGCGTCCTAAAAAAAGAAAAGGTCTATAAAAAAACATCCATCTATCAAAGCTGATATGGGCACCCAAGGGAATGCCTGTAGATTTGAATTTCGACAGGGAGCTCATACATTCCCCTGTCGAGAAGCCTGGTAATTGGTTTACTGATGAGATTTGAAGGTATATGTGGATGAACATCCTTTTGAGCGTATCTGGTTGGAATAATGTCTCCCCTGCTAGATAATATTTTAAGCAAACTTGTGATTAGTATTTAATTAACTATTTTTTTTTGTAATTGTTGAATAACTTTGATTTGGATAAGGTTAACATGGATCCTATGCATGATCAAGTGTTGCGGAGCATTGACGCGACTCTACAAAAAAATGTATAGAGGCTGAAAAAGTAAAACACATAGTTATTTTGAAAATGTCGGGAGGGGGGGGGGGGGGTTCCAGATATCCCAAGGGCATTAGCCACCACTCCCCGCCCCCGAAAGGGTATGTTACATGAAAATTGGGCACCCGTAGTCAAACATTTTTCAGAAGTCTGTATTTTTAAAACGTTTGACATCAAACAAAAAAGTTTTTACACAACAATAACTTGTAAATAGAGGTGTATCGTGCTCGTACATAAATGTGTGCTTCAAAGATGTAGGTTATGATATATTTAAGTGTTTATTTAAATTATAATTACTCTACTTTTAATGTTAAATAGGACATCACTCGAATAGAAGCATTTCGTAAAGTAAATACCAATCATCAAGGGGTATTTACTAGTCTTGCAGTCGAGCAACAATACATAAGTGATTATATTGTATTTTTATGTAAGTGTTTATATCATCAATGAGTATTTAGTAATCTATTTTTTATGATTTTTATCATTTATTGAAAATATAGAATGCTTTACTCCATGAGATCAATCAGCAAACTCAAGCTTCTTTTAAAGCGAGCGGTTTAACAACAATGGATATACAAAATTGTTCTGAATGAATATCAGGTGTTCGACAAGGCCATATTAGAGACATCAGGTGTAAACATTCTACAGTTGTGTCTATGTACGATCAGAAACAACCACCAACACAACCACCACAACAATCACATGTAATTATTAGTTGAAATGTATTTGAAAAGTATAATGCTATAACGGAAAAACGAAAAAAATAGGGTGTTATAATTTGATGTATTGGAACTTTGTAGTTTGATAATTTTTGGAGAGTACAATGCTATAATGGAAAAAAAAATACAATGCTATTATGTATATGCAATATTGTGTGTTTTTAATTGTATTTGGAAAGTAAAACGTTATAATGATATGTTGGTTATAGTTTGATATGTTGGTATTCTCTAATTTGGCGACTTTTGGAAAGTATAATGTTATGACGGAAAAAAATTTCAATGTTATAATGTATATGTAATATTGTGTATGATGTATGCTTAAGTGTATTTAGAATGTAGAATGGTATAATGATATGTTGGTTATAGTTTGATATATTGATATTTTGTAGTTTGATAATTTTTGAAAAGTACAATGCTATTATGATTTGTGGATAATATATTTTGCTTTCTTTGTAGTTGAAAATCTTTCAAACAATGTTAAGAGACTCGTCATATAGTGCGGCATTGGAAGACTAGTTCTGATCATTGTCGTCAAGAAATGAAAACGAAGAAAACGAGGAGAGTATTGATGAGGACGAGTAGCTACTTTTTTAGGATTTATTAAAAAAAATTCGGTTATTATTTTGGATATGTTGCACCACGTTTGAATATTTTAGATCGGAAATAGTATTAAGTGTGGTTAATGTTTCGAACTAATTTTTTGCAAAATAAAGTTTCGTAGCAGTTTTAATACATGTTATATTGTTTTTTATAATTTTAATGATAGAAAAAAAAAATCAATTAGCGGTTATTAGTGACGACATATTTTTTGCAACAACAATTAGCATTAGCAGTGACATACATAACATTTGCAACATCGGCATTAACGGTGACATAGATAGCTATTGCCTTTATTTCTTATAGTGAACCCTAGTGACGCTGAATATCATGGGTAAACCCTCAATTAATACCGGGTTAAACAATCTACACTTTCAATTTTATCTTTCCAGCAATTGAGACGCAGTCCTCTAGAATGCACCAATTGACCGTTTATGGCTTCCCTTGAAACACATCATCATCATCATCCAGAATTTATGCCCCATGTACAACCTCGCCCACTCTGACAGCATTCATATGACTCCTTCACATAAATGACCGATAATTAAACCAACAAACATACCAAGTTAACAATACAAACTAAATAAATGTTTCTACGTTAGGTACCCTTGACAAAAGACATGTAAGTTATTTAGGTTTCCTATAAGCAAAAAAAAAAAAAAGACTTCATAAATTATTAGGGTTAGCCGAAGCACAACCACATAATTCATGCATTGGCATGTGCTTGCCGAATGTCCGTGGTCCAAAATCAACCATATTTGCTATATAACAAGCAGGCTTCCTCATAAGTTGTCTATCATTTGCAGCATAAATGATACCAGAAATTTGTTATAAGATTTTTCTCACGATGAACACCTTCTTGTTATGGTGGTGGGAAGTCGACAATGAGCTAGACAAGCTCGCCCGCACACTTCTCACCATTTCAGTTCCCACACTACTACTTCTGTGGTACAAATGGATATCGTATTACAGAAAGCACATACAACCCTTACCACCGGGTCCCTATGGCTTACCAGTTGTAGGGTATCTCCCGTTTCTCGGCTCCAACTTGCATGAAAGTTTCACTAAGATGGCTCACCGATATGGCCCCATCTTCAGTCTCAGGCTCGGAAGCAAGCTTCATGTTGTCGTGAACTCCATGGAGCTCGTAAAGATCGTGACTCGTGACCTGGATCATATCATGGCAAACCGCAGTCCTCCATTAGCAGCGCTAACCATGAGCTATGGTGGGAACGATATTGCATGGTCCAACAGCGACACACACTGGCGTAACATGCGCAAGATTTTAGCAAACCAACTTTTCAGCCATAAAAATCTAAAAGGCTGTCAGAGTTTCCGAACATATGAAGTCAGAAGACTGGTGAAAGAAGTTTACAGTAAACTCGGGACAAAGATCGATATTAATGAAATTGCTTTCAACACCGAGGTTAACGTTGTGACAAGCATGTTATGGGGTTCTAGCAAATCAACTGGTGATGGGAACGATTCTAGCTCAATTGGAGATGGCTTCCGAGAAATTGAGTTCAAGATTGTGAAGTTATCGACAGCTTCAAACATCTCTGATTTTCTACCTATGCTATCAAGGTTCGATCTACAAGGAAGGCAGCGAGAAATGCAGATGCTTTGGGAATACGTCGATCGGATATTTGAGAGCATTATCCAAGGAAGAATGGAAGCCAACTCCCGAAAAAATGAGGCAGAAGCTGAAGAAGATCAAAGGAAGGATTTCGTTCAAGTATTACTCGAGCTTAAAGAGCAGAAAGATGCTGCAATATCATTAGACATCGTTAAAATAAAGGCCCTACTAATGGTAAGTCTCTCTTTATATGTTTTAATTCTTTCATTAGCTACAAGCTGCACTCATTATTCCCCTAGACAACTAATGAAGGGACACTGTTATAATAGGACGTAGTGCTCGCGGCTACAGACACAACATCTACAATGGTTGAATGGGTGATGACAGAGATTTTGAAGAATCCAGGCGTAATGAAAAGAGTACAGGATGAATTAACGGAGGTTATTGGCATGAACGTTGTCGAAGAATCTCATCTGCCAAAATTAACATATTTGGATGCAGTCATCAAGGAGACATTTAGGGTACACACTCCCGTTCCTCTGTTATTCCAAAGATGCCCAGATGAATCCTGCACTGTTGGCGGATACACCATTCCAAAGGGTACTATCGTCTATATGAATGCTTGGGCAATCCATCGGGATCCCAAGAACTGGACCAATCCATTGGAGTTCAAGCCTGAGAGATTCGTGATCAACAAATGGGATTACCAAGGAAATAATTTCAAGTTTTTACCATTTGGATCAGGGAGAAGAATATGCCCAGGAATCTCACTTGGGGAGAAGATGTTGATGTATATATTGGCATCGCTGTTGCACTCATTTGATTGGAACTTGCCAGAAGATGAAGAGTTTGAGCTTTCTGATGAGTTTGGACTTGTGACAAAGAAAAGGAAACCACTTATAGCCATACCCTCTCAAAGGTTATCTGATGCAAGCCTCTACTCTTTTTGATAGAGGATTATATATCTCTCAATAAAGGGTTCTACCGTTTGTATAAAAATGTTATGTGAGTGTTCAGATATGTGAAATCCGTTACCTTCCCATCTCCTCATTTCTTGTAATTCTTTGTGGTAATAATATTTTTGTGAATTCTGTATTTTCTTGCACATCATTGTCGGTTCATGAGATGACAAATCAACTTTGGAAAGAATGTGAAAGAAACCAAATATTCTTCTCTCGTGTATGTTTGGAAATATATAACTTCGAACTAAATTGATCCCTTCCAAAATAGTGGGCTTATTCTTAGCAATATAACTGGGGTCATTTTTTTTGTAACCCACTGTATTTACTTATGTATAGATCAAAGAAAAAACAAAATTTACATGGTATCATTAACGAATTGAGAAACCCTTTTCAAGACCAACAGCTAATAGATCCGATGAAACAACCTTGAAGAAAACCAAACATATTACCGAAGAAAATAAGCCGATAAAGAAAATGATTTTAGGAAAAAAGGGTCTTCCAAAGTTGGGAATCAAAATGGGTGGTATAAGAATGGACTCCTCTATTATTCTTGATGAGCAAACGAGTTTATTAAAATGGATTCCAGATTTGGATCGACAAATGGTTCGGATAAAAATTCAAGCTAAAGTAGTTGAGTATTTAAGTTCGGCTCTTAGAATTTTAACCGGAGGATGAAGGATTGAGAAATAAAAGAACATATGATAAATGTGCAATAGCGCAAAATTTGTTGTAGCTGGAAGTTGGTTTTTTTTTCTTTTTAAAAAGTCACATCACTGGTACAATCTTGTTTTTGGTAACAAGTTTTTGGTATTTGGTAGATGTTTGGTTTATTTAGCTTTTTGGAAGGATGGATGTGGTGATAATTTCAAAACAAAAGACCATGTGTTTTCTTATGTAAGTTAACTTGAAATAAAAGGTCAAATGACATAAAAACCCTCAAGTTTGTTTAAAATGTTCGGTTTAACCCCTAGCTATAATTTAGGTCCACAGAAACCGGATAGTTGTCCAATTTGTGTCGTAATTGCCCTGTTACTTGTTAAACATGTTTGTAACTGGTGACTCTCACTTGATTAGGAGGCCACGTGCCGGTAACCACAATGAGTCGGAAGACGAATCAACTGTTTCCCCCATTTACCTCGTATCACCCTTTATTACTCTCAATGCATGCTAAATTAATTGTGAACCCTAATTTACTTACAACCAAAATTACTCAAAATTACTCTCAAATTGAAACGGAGGCGACAACGTCACTGAACACCAAAATCAGTTGGAATTCTCAACGAAGGTGATGGATTTCTCAAACGATGCCTTTAAAGACACCTTTCGTGGTCTGTACAAGCCATTTGCAGGCCTGAATAAGATGGATTTCGAGTTGCATGGTATCTACATGGATCATGAACCTCAGAACGAAATTCTTTCTCCTCTGAACACATGTAAGGATTCTTTTCTGAATGTACTTCTTAGTGATGATAATCTACGCAATTCTAAATTCAAGCCCGAAAATTTCATTTTTAAATTAATAATTTTTAAAACATTTTACCATAACATTGTCAATAAAGCAACACATTACAAAATCATAATGTTGTATCCCAAACCATGACATCAAAAATAATGAAAATCAGAGTACAATCCCAGAAAGTCTGATGCGGAATCATGTGTGTGTGTGTGATGCGATGCTACGCCGCCATCTCCTTACCCTTAGATGAAGAGGTACCTGAAATGAAAATAGAAGCCGTAAGCACAAATCTTAGTGAGTTCCCCCATCATACCACATACCATACAATATCATCGGTATCTTTCGAACGGTAATCCTCATCACTATGTTTCAACCGGTAATCATTGTCAGTATCTTTCAACCGATAACTTTCATCGATATCTTTCAACTGGTAATCATCATCAGTATCTTTCAACCGGTAATTATCATCGGTATCTTTTAACCGGTAACCAGGGACTATTCCACCCCCTACCACTAGCATACATCATCAATATATAAACATACAATCTGGCATATCCGAGTACTGCCCTACCCTTCGGTCCTAAGGACCACTGTCAGGGAAATTGATCCTTACTATACACATAACATATCATACAGATAAATCTCATAACCAAGGCACATAACTAGACCAAGATAATTATCACAACGACAATCATATCCTAAATATTCCTCTTTGGTGGGTCGGCATTGTGGCGTTAGACCAACCCCTACTAGAATGTAAATCACCTAATACGAGTAGCTGCAGATAATGTAACACCGAAAATTTCAAACCAATTTTTCGACTTTTATAAAAACATAATTCCGTCAATATTCATAAACAACCATTTTAATTGTTCAACAAAACAGTACAAAATCCCAAGATCAAATGTCAAGCTCCAAACGTGTGTGTGTGTACGGATCAAGCCGGCGCCTTCCCGCGGTCGTCACTAGTACCTGAAACAAATAACATCAACACTGTAAGCACAAGGCTTAGTGAGTTCCCCAAAATACCATATATAACACATATTAGCCACTCTAGGCTATAACTCTGTGGGTCCGTGCACCCAAACTCTGTGAACCCTCAGGTTCTAACTCTGATAAACATGCACCACATAAATCACATAGAAATCATGCAGTACAACACATAACATACATAGCATACAGATACTCTATCACATAGCTCTGGTTACCTACTCAAGGTAAAGTATAGTGAGAAGACTCACCTCGCGCGTCTCGGTAAATCGTAACCCTGAAATCGCTAAACACTCGATCTGTCGGGCTGTAGTCCCCCTATAGCACAATACATCTCTAATTAACACTTTCCCAACTGGGGTTGACCACACTTAAACAAGTCAATCTAGGTCAACGCTGGTCAACGGTCAACGGTCAACTTTGACCGGACTCGGCGAGTGCACTATAGCGACTCGGCGAGTCTGAGCGCATGCACCAATTTCCCTAGAACCCTCCCTTGACACGTCGAGCATTTCCCTCAGCTCGACGAGTTCCACCTGGCACGAGTTGTGGGGCCACCATGACTCAACTCGCCGAGTCTCAAGAACAACTCGGCGAGTCCAGTTTGACTCGGTCCACCTGTCCATCCTGACTCCCCCTTTGACTCACTGAGTTCACCCTTCCCAACTCGGCGAGGCCACTCGCTGAGTGGTCGGGTAACATTCATGCTACTCGCCGAGTCTGTTCTTCGGACTCGGCGAGTCCGTGCCATGCACTGACTCAATCTTGCTCTAAAGGTCAGATCCAGTCCATTAATCCATAGATCCAGTCCCTCCAAGCTTATTTAGTACGTAAAGTCACAATCTTGATGCACATACAACCTCTATGTGACCATATTTGATGTTTTAGACTCAAAAACAACAACACAAGGTCAAGGACTCTATTGCCACCCATAAAGCTTGGTGAGTGAGGCCCTCTGGACCTCTATGGATCCAGATCCATGGTCTCAACTCAAAGAGGGAACCAATGGGCACCAAATCACCCCATAAATGACCACATTAAGCCCTAAATTGCATCAATCTTCACTAAACAGAAAATGGTCCGAAATAATACCTCTAGAGTGATGATCTAAGCTCCAAGTCCTCGAAATGGCAGCCTTCTTTGCTTCCTCTTGCCTAGGGTCTTCTTCTTCTTGCTAAACAACACACACAAGATCAAGAATGGCTCTCTTTCCTTCACAAAACGCTCAAGAACTCTAGGGACACTCTCTGGGGGTTGGGTGAGCACAAATGACGGCCATAAGGCCCTTTAAATAGGCCTCAAACCCGGAGATTTAGGGTTTCATTACACAGCGCAGACTCGCCGAGTCCATACCCTGGACTCGCCGAGTCCAAGCGCGCACCAGTGATCAATTCCGCATCCCTACTCGGCGAGTCTGAGCTCCAACTCGCCGAGTCCCTCTCACAACATATCAAATTTAACTTACAAGATACCTGGTAAAATCCGGATGTTACAACTCTCCCCCACTAGAACTGGACTTCGCCCTCGAAGTCCCGCTCTAAAACAGCTCTGGATGCTGCTCCCGCATCATACTCTCCGGCTCCCAGGTCATCTCTGATCCCTTCCGATGTTGCCACTGAACCAATACCAGAGGTACCTCCTTGTTCCTCAAAATCTTGATCTTCCGATCCCTAATAGCCATTGGTCTCTCCGCATAATTCAGGCTCGCATCTACCTGAATATCCTCTAGTGGAACCACTGCCGACTCATCGGCTATACATTTCCTCAACTGCGATACATGAAAAGTGTTGTGAATCTGCCCCAACTCTGCTGGTAACTCCAGCCGATAGGCTACCCGGCCTACCCTGGCAATCACACGAAACGGGCCAATAAACCGGGGCCCCAATTTGCCCCTCTTCCTGAACCGGATCACTCCTTTCCAAGGAGAAACCTTCAGGAGAACAAAGTCGCCGACCTGAAATTCCAGCTCGGACCGACGTCTATCCGCGTAACTCTTCTGTCGGCTCTGAGCAGTCAGTAACCTCTGCCTGACCAGCTGTATTTGCTCTGTCGTCTGATTCACGATCTCTGTACTGCCCATTACCCTTTGCCCAACCTCTCCCCAACATATGGGAGTCCGACACCTCCTACCATACAACAGCTCAAAGGGCGGCATACCAATGCTCGAATGATAGCTGTTATTGTAGGAAAACTCCGCCAAAGGCAAATGCGTGTCCCAACTACCCCCAAAGTCCAATACACAAGCTCGAAGCATGTCCTCGAGTGTCTGTATCGTCCGCTCACTCTGACCGTCGGTCTGGGGGTGGTATGCGGTACTAAAATGCAGCTTAGTACCCAACTCCTCATGAAATTTCTTCCAAAAACGGGAAGTGAAACGCACATCGCGGTCTGAAACAATCGAGATCGGCACCCCATGCCGAGATACAACCTCCCTCACGTAAATCTCCGCCAACTTCTCCGCCGAAGAACTCTCACTGATGGCAAGAAAGTGAGCGCTCCTTGTCAACCTATCCACAATCACCCAAATTGCATCAACTCCTCTGGCAGTCCTCGGCAATTTGGTGATAAAGTCCATAGTGATCTGTTCCCACTTCCACTCGGGAACCTCCAATGGCTGCAACTTGCCATGCGGTCTCTGGTGTTCGGCCTTTACCCTTCGACAGGTCAAACACCTCTCGACAAACCATGCTACGTCCCTTTTCATACAAGGCCACCAATACTTCTTTCTTAGGTCCAAATACATCTTCGTGGCC